CTGTGCGAACAAATTGTTCCAATAAATTAATCACTTATGCAGCCAGTTATCGCATCCAATGTCGGTATAAGCACTTATCCTACTCTCATCCTGAATTACATTTAGCATTTGAATATGCATACGGCTCCAGCCAATTTACAACACCAGGCGGACTTTACGTTGTAAGCGCCAAAATTGCTAACAGCGCGGAGCTCAACGACTGAATCAATTTGCTGGCATGTTAAACCGCAACATGCCTCCTTTCAACGGAAAGCCTGCCGCTTCCATGTAGGAGTGGCGACGAGATATTCACGCAACATTATGCAAATTTAGCTGAAATATTTCATAAACTGTTTCATATGTCAGCTTATGTCTGCCGATATAAAAACAAATATTCTGGATATTCTGGCACACATACATCTTGTTACAGATAAGACAAAATATTCCCCGTGCACTAAAATTAAAAATGTGTAAATTTTAAGTACGAGTACAGTATCATAATTTTGATTAATCTATTCAAATAATATCACAGACACCGTCCAAGTCACAGTCTGTCTCCCAAAAAGATAATGTGCACTTAGGCCTCTTAAGTGGGGTCATAGGAAACCTAAGTTTATAAGAGCATTTGATATCTACTTCGGGCATAGTCTTTTTGTTAACACTAGTAGTATTGCAATACTAGTATTTACTTTTATCGTAGAGGTAAACCGTGCCTACAGTGGAATGGTCAAGGACCACTAATCGGACTCGATGTACAAGACTGTACAAGGCACATATGCAGTCGATGGTCCTGTAGAGACATGCTGCGTCAGGCCAAAAGCTGGTAACAGTTTGTTATGGCTAAATAATTAAGTAAATAGTATCACAAAGATATCAAGAAAGGAGGTGTATGCCAGAGAACTGCAATAATTATTTAGCACTTAACTAATATTTAATTATTGGCTATAACCTATTCTAAATTTCTTTCTCTTTGGCACAAAGAAAATATCTGCTAAATGTGTCAGTTTTAGTTCTGCTAAACATCTTCTACTGTCATTTCTTTTAACACCAGAGCCCTTACCATATATTTATTTCATCTTGGCCGTATTATATCACGAATCCAGTCACACTTTGTTTTTATAATATTAATGTTTGTCGTCATGTTTTCAGTCCATTATTGGTTGAGTCCAACGCTAACTTATCATTAGTTTGTTATCGATCAAAGTATCCCAAGGTATTTTCGAAAGCCTCTATTTGCAGTTTTTATTCTAGTGTATCTCCATATCTTGTTATAAAACTATTTAAATATTTCAATAATTCTTAACTCACAAATTAATAAATGTTTTTTTTTAATTTTAAACATAATTTCTGCTTCGAATCGGTTATTCTATCTAAAACGTCATATTTACCATCTACATAATAGCCTTAGATATATCTATAGCTCAACAAAAAATGGGAGGAATAGTGTCCCGTTTGATTAAACGGTTTAGCTTTTACAATGGATGGTACATTTACGGTACCAACCAAAAGATGAGCTCATCATAAAAAAATGAAGCAGTAACCTTAGTTGCACTAGCGAGAGGAAAAAAAAAGATGGATTGGTAAGGCAAAATACGACTTTGAATAAAGTAGTGTTCGTACCTGCAGCCAAATAGACATTGATCAAAATATCTGAAAACAAATATTAATGGGGTAAATCATTGCTATATTTACTATTATTAGTTCCTTGCTAGTTCATATAAAAATATAGAATAGTCGTTCCAGAGATGTGATGCATTCTTCACACAATGTAACCACTTAATAGCAATACAAAAGCATAATGATTTTCGGGTTATATTAGATGATAAGTTTAAGTGTTCCAACCAGTAAGTGATGATTATATCATATCTTTGTGCTCATACATTGCATGTCGTGTTGCTTTACATTTTACTAATATATACGCGGTCAATCTGATATGGCAATTAAATTTGTTTTACCTACGATTGTTTGATTCTTGAGTAAACAGTTCAGTTTCTATTTATATATCGTTTCTTTTTTAATACATACCTTATACACCACTCTGCTCATAATATACTCAACTTTTGAGTTATCTGATCAAGCTTTTACGCTAGTGAACAGTGATATAGACATTTGAGAAAGGAAGATCGCAGTAATAAATAAAAAAAATAATAAACTTATTTAAATTAGTACAAATAAATAATTAAATATATTTTTCTCGATAACTATGGGTGTAATTCGATTTACTGTCTGTTTAATGGTATATTTGATTCTGACAAATAGTTTTAACTTCAAAAAATAAATACTTATATATTATTATAAAGTTATGTATTTATTTTCATACTTTAAAAAATTTAAATATTCAAATTTTAAAATCATAATTCGTTTAATATGACAATTTCACGTTCATCAATTACAAATGAATATTAAAATTATCATGCTAACAAAATCATATATATGTTTATTTATAAAATTTTATAATTAATTAATGTTTACAAATATATTTTTAAAAAAATATCTGTTAGCAAATTAAGTGAAAATTTTTTCATAATTAAAAATAGTAATAAAATATTGCTTAAAGCAATTATTTTCAGCAATTAAAATTAAATTAATAACGTGAAGTGCCATATTTTAAAGATTAAAATGCCTAAAAGTTAATTTTTTCGAATTTTTGTATATATGAAAATGTATTTTTACTTATTATCGATAACCAAGGGCTTCGCTTGTTCCCAAGTGAATTCTTCACGTCCAAAATGACCATAAGTGCTTGTTCGCTGATATATTGGTTGTCTCAAATTTAAATCTTTTACAATCATACCAGGACGTAAATCAAAATTCTTTTTTATAATATTAAGTAATTCCAATTCAGTTTTATGCGATGAACCATAATCAAATACAGCAATCGATAATGGTTCAGCCAAACCAATTGCATATGATAGTTGAACTAAGCATCGTTTGCATAAACCAGATTTAACCAAAGACTTAGCTACCCAACGCGCAGCATAAGCAGCCGATCTATCTACTTTTGTGAAATCTTTACCCGAAAAAGCTCCTCCACCATGTGCGCCCCAACCACCATAGGTGTCTACAATTATTTTACGTCCAGTGAGACCAGCATCACCCATCGGGCCGCCAATAACAAATTTACCGCATGGATTAATATGTATTATTGTATTAGCATCAAAGTACATAGGTGGTATTACATGTTTAATCACCTTTTCGAGAACCTGTGCACGTAAGTCATCTAAAGATATATGCTCAGAATGTTGGACCGATACAACGACAGCCTGCACACGTAATGGTATGGCAGCACCATTACGAAAATGATACTCGCATGTAACCTGTGTCTTAGAGTCAGGACGTGCCCAATCCAATTCACCAGAACGACGTAATTCAGCAATACGTTTGTTTAAGTTATGTGCTAAAATTACTGTTAAAGGCATACATTCATCAGTTTCATCAGTAGCATAGCCGAACATAATGCCCTGATCACCAGCACCAATTTCCTCATCAGGACGATTAGCATGTACGCCTGCAGCTATTTCCGGGGATTGCTGATCTAAGGCTAACAATACATTACATGTTTTATAATCAAAACCTTTGGAACTGTCATCGTAACCAATTTCCTTAACAGTATTGCGTACTACATTTTGATAATCCACGACTGCATTAGATGTTATTTCTCCGCAAAGTAAAATCATACCAGTTTTTGTAACAGTCTCACAAGCAACCTTAGCATTTGGATCTTGACGCAAGTGTGCATCTAAAATTGCATCACTTATTTGATCACAAATCTTATCTGGATGACCTTCGCCAACGGATTCAGAAGTGTATAAAAAGACTTGATCGTCTATAACATTGTTGGGCAATGTCATACCATTAATCATTCCATTAACTTTTGCTGTAGCTAGTGGCATCTTAAAGTGATATTCTAGAAAAAAAATGTAAGAAGTAATTATTATAACTAAATTTTAAAAAAATATGAAAATTGATACAATTATAAAATTAATAACATTTTTTATTACTTATTAATTAATTGAATTTTTGGCTGACCATATAACTTTTTCGACTATCGCCAAGCAATAATAATCATCAAAAAATCCAATTAATTAATAAATAATAAAAATAATTAATAAATAATAAAAATAATTAATTAAATAATAAAAAAATGTTTGTTGTTGTAATTCACTACTGTTCAAAATACGTCTCTATTGAAACAATAGTCTATAAAGAAACATGGTTTCTTTTGTCATAATAAGCTTTAAAAGTCAAATTTAATATAAAATTAACAATATTGCAGTACGCTTACATTGTCAAAATTATAGTTATAATTGTAAGTGTAAATACAGAGATCATTTACTTTTTAGTCTTTCACAAAATATTCAAACATAAATATTCTGAGATATATTTTATTTTGTAGAATCCTTTTTACATTAGTTATTAAAAAATTTTAAAATTATTTACAACAATAAACTGAAAAAAAAATAGATTTTATATAATTATCACAAAACAAAAACCATTTTGGGATCATGCGTTTCTTTGAGTTGTTCGAGAATGAAACAATTATTTCTATTCTGCACATTTACACTTCATTTCAGTAATTGTACTATTTTAATTTTATGTTAATTAAATCATTTCATAAAAATAAATTATTTATAAAATATTCGCTCACACTTACATTATATCAAACTGAAGATTAAAAATATTTTTGTAAATACGATCAAAAGCAAGACACTAGCAAATGTCTTAATATTCTCAATTTGCCCAAAATTGATCTAACGGGAAAAGAGACGAAAAAAAAATTTAGAAGGAAGTTTTAAGCGTCGATATACATATTTTTTTACTATTATATCATATTAGACATGTTAAACTCTTTTGCACACTATATCAATTTTAGGAAATATATTGAGATATTTAGAAACTAAATAATAATAATAGCAATGTTAATTAAATATTACATTAACACATTATGAGCGGGGCAGGTATTTGTACCCGTTGCGAGGATTGTCACTTATAAGCGGGACAGGTATTAGTACCCGTTTAAAATAAGTAATTTTAAGTGACAAAGGGGAAAAATAATGTTGTATCAAATATATGATTACGTCTCAAAGATCGTAAAGTGAGATAAAAAAATTCCGTCCATCTATATTTTAACCAATAATATTCCTAGCAGGCAAGTGTCTCCTGAGCTAGCCGCTCATAATGTTATTACATAGACAAAAAAGAATAATAATTTTTATAGCCCTTTAAAATAATCCTTATTCACTTTTTTTTATCGATAATGACTACGCGTATGAATGAAACACTAAAATAGTGAGAACAAAGGTAATTAAAACGGGACGCTTGTTTGTTAAGGAGTTGACAAAGTCGCGAAACATTCGTTAAAAGCTTCATTTCGTACACATATAGTATAGCATTACTTAAAAGTAAAGATTATGACAAATTTTGTTTATAAAAAAACTGAAAGTTATAGCCAAGTACATAAAATAATTAAGCTGCACAAGTTTGCTACTGAATATTTGAAATTTCGACTCATATATGCTACTTTAAGAGAACCACACTTATAAAAAAAATGGGCAAGCAACTCAACTATATCTCTATAATTTATCGTAAGCTATAAAATATATGATTTCAAGCTGTCTGTCTTTTAGCATATAAAGAAATATTTTTTTTCGAAAGCTTAATCCATTTTTCCTACACTATATCTTCAATATATCAATATAAATAAACAAATCTAAATGTAAATTAACTCGAATAGAAGCTGGTAGCCCTGGCAGCTTGTGCTTTATTTATAATTATCATTATGATTAAAACAAATAAATAAAAATATTTTCGATATACTATTGGTTTGGGTGGGCAGAAGAATATATTATATATTATAATATACAAAAATTATTATTATTAACGCAAATAAAAAAATACCGTTGTAAATTTTAATTTAATGTATATTTTAAATATGAACATTTAAGTATGTTATAAGCTAACGTTACGACGAAGCACAACTGTACGTAATTTCGCAACAGTTCTCAGGTTCTTTGAAAATAAAAAGTTTGCTTATTTGAACGTAACACGCCACTGCTTTGAACATCTGATTTCCATTGACTAAACGATATTAGTTTGAAGGGAAGATATATAAATGTACTTTTTAAATATTATATTATTAAAAAATTAAAATCAATAATTTTGTGTTCATATCGATGTCAATTTATTTTATAATAAAATAAGCACAAATCTTTACAACAACAAAGTCCAAATATAAACAAACACCCTTTCTTTAATTGTTTACATTGCAAAACTGTCGGCGCAAATTCAACACGCATTTCACACTATTTTTGTTTTTGTTCTTTATTGTCTAACTGCTTTTATTGCACAAGCCGTGAATAGCTTTCGATTTCTCCAGAATGTGAAAAAATTTTATAAAATGTTTTAATCATAAAACACACTTTATCCATTTTACTCTTTTTTTATTAATTAAGATGATTTTAATATTAGAGTACAACTTTTTATATATTTCATTAAGCAAAATTTGTAAGAAAACATAGTTTTGTTTATGCCGGCATGACACGAAAAACCAATAACAAAACAATAAGCCGGTTACACAAATCGCAAAAGCTAATGAAATCTAATTTGTATTACTAACAGCTTTTTAGCATTACTTATACAAAAACGAAAATCACATTTTAATTATTACCTTATCGAATTGTATTCAGTTTTATCAGACAAAATTTATTCCAGTTATAACACACTTAAAGTATGACGTCCAATATTAAACTGACCTATTTTTGCGAATGCTGGGAAGAGCACAACTTCATAAAACGGTGGTGGTTAAATAAAAAAGGTGTTGCCAATCATTTGATTTTTCGCAGTAAATAAAAATGTTATTAAGTTTGGTGAATAAATGTAAGCTTAAAATATATAGAAATTGTTTGCTACGTGTATTAATAAAAGTTTTGTGTTCAAATTTTAGCAACAATTAACAATTGAAAGTCATTTAATATAAGAAATTTGCTTCATTTAATTAAGCAAATTAAATTTTCACATTAAATTAAAATGTTGTGTAATTTGGTGAATAAGCGTAAGCTTAAAATATATAAATATTGTTTGCTACGTGTATTTTTAATAAAAGCTTTACGTTAAACTTTAAGCATAAATTATGATTTAAATATAATTTCACAAAATTTGAAATATTTAAAACACTTCACAAATTTTTTGTAACAGAAAAGGATTTCTTTTTAAGACCTGCGGTATGTTAATAAGCTGGAGTATTAAATATTGAGATCTTATAAAAAAAATGCTCTAACACTTTCACATTTTACAAATTTAGCACAAGTGTAGTGTACTAAATACAAATCGTTAAAAGGTATATAAAAAAATTAATCTAAAATATATTGAAAAATGTATATAGAAATATATTGAACGAATATGTACAGTATAGAAACTAACTAAACCAAATATGACACTTATTATCGTTTAGCCATCGAATTTTACTAAAGTAAGTTCCCAGACGTTCAATGTTTAAATTATTGTTCAGACCTTTCATTTTGACAGTTATTGTTTTTGTGATCTCTTTATTTGTTGGTATTTTTCTGTTTATATATTCTTCATTATAAGTTTTGGTATACTTGTATACTTTGTAACCAAATATTATGTTAAAAATAAACATATAATTTCGACATTTTTTATCAAAAACATATTAATAGTATAATTATAAAATGAAGCTAACTTTCAATATGACGAATTTTGGCGGTAACTATTTTTATAAAAAGTAAGCTTTGGTAACTAATTTTGTGTGAAAGTCATCTTCTTCCACTACTGAAATTTGTAACGCAAACATTTAGAAAGACCACGTTACGTTTTTTAATAATAAAATTATAATTAAAATTAACATATTCAATATACGGTAACAAAGTTAATTTAATAATAATATAATATAAAATATATATATATATGCTGTTGTATATATAAATTATGATAATACTAACAAAAATTTTATCCACTACACAAGTTCGATATATAGTCACGCTTTTTAGTTTTCAAAGTCTTCAAAGCTTTTTAAGTCTGGCATTTCTGTTGTGGTGAGTTTAATAATTGCGCCTTATTTTGCTTGCCTCGCTTCTATAAAGAATTTTGCTGATGTTGCATTCAATTATTTAACGTTTAAAAAAATTTGAACTTTATTTAATAATTTACTAAATAAATAAATATATAAATTAAATTAGATAAATATATTTAATGCAAGAAAAGAAACCTTTAATTTAATGATTAATTTGTGTGTGTGAAACAGCATTTATTGTAAAAAATGTTTTTAAGTTATATTTTCATATGTATGTTAATTACATTTTTAGTTAAATTTTATATTATAAAACAAATTTTACTCGTTTATTTCATTTATTTATGAATCAATGTTGGTTATTTGTATTACAAATTTAATAATGGTTAAGTTATAGTAACTTTATTGTAATATTAGATATTATGTCTATTTTTTATATTTTTTATATTATATTTATATTTATATTCTATTTTATTTATTTTTTATTTGTTATATGTTTTGTCTTTTGAAACAATGTATGTATGTATTTCCGGCTTCAAAATAATCAATAAATATTAAACGCTTCGCAACCCTTAAAGTTCGGGTCATATTTTATCGGTTGGGTAGCTTTTGCAGGGTAACTCAAGCGACTAAATATAATGTTTTCACATATCTAGAGTTAAATATATATTCATATATATTAATTAAATCATATAATAAATAAGATTTGCTCGACGTGCTTTAACTGCAGCAGTTACAGAAGAAGCAGACTTTTAACTTTAGTTTAAATAGTGAAAATCGCTTGACTATACCCTTAAGAAATACAAGTTTTTAGAACTAGTTTGTAACATTTTTACTAGAAGGCTTTCATGAAATAATAATACTTAAGAAACATTCTACAATTTGTTTTTTCAAATGTAATTATTATGTTATATAAAATTACATTTTTTTATGTAAATCTTAAAACAATAAAAAAGAATTTGTAAAAGTTTATTCAATAACCTCAGGCCACCTAAAAGTTTGTGAAGTATGAGAAACGCATTGTCGTCAAGTTTAGTCTTCGATGGTAGAGATCGTCTCAACACAGAATGTTGATAAATTTATTGTTAATAAATTGATTGTCGTCACTTTAATTTTAGATACGATGTCTAGTCACACAAATCTATAAATCACAATGTTTTGTTTTTTCTTAAAAGATATTGACATTTTCTAAATCTATTAAAAAGCTGATTTATTTTGTCAATCAGTTAATTTGTCCCTTTCTCATACAGTCAATAGGTAACTATAACTGTTTGAATTCTGTTGGTTTGTTGGTTTTAATGATTGTTTGTTTGTTGCCGTCCGTTCATTTTTTGAAGTCGACCTTAAACTTTTGTTTAAATAGTTAAAATCGCTTGACTATATCCCTAAGATGTTACAAGAACTAATTAACCAGAACCCACTTATTGTTTTCTTTTTCACCTTCGCAGAGGTGAATGGTATGTCGGTATCTGAAATGCCACTGCATAGAAATTCTAAATGTAGTTTTTGAGAGTGCAACTTCGTTAGAATAATGTGAACAGATTTTCATACAAATCAAGCTTCTTCAATACCGTCTTCCATTTTGGATCTATCAGTGTACTATATCAGTCAGTACTTTATACATTGCGGCTACTGATAACCAGTTTGAATATTATTAGTGGTTTACCTAAAAAAAATTTTTTGTTTAGTTAATGTAGATAAAGTAAGCATAAAGCTGCGCGGACTGCATTTTTTCTTAAGATAAAGATGAATAAGTTAAATGCACTACAAACTTCAGTAAATAACAGTTTACAAATGCAATTAACACAAATTTATAATTAATTTCTCGTTATATAATTAATGCTAAACTAATAAACAAAAACCAATACTAGACTGTTTATTATTGGTACAAATTTCCTATGAACAACTCAAGTTTAACAGTCTATGCCAGTACCTAACTAGATTAAACTTAAGCCAAGTAAATTTTATAAATACAACGCAAATTCGATTTTTTTTTTTATTAATTTATTTATGTATCAGAACTAAAAAATGTTTAATAACTTTAAAAGAAATAAAAAGCTTTAATATATTATGAATTTTTTTTAAATACTATTTGGTCGACCTTTACTTCATTTATATTAAAGTCATAAAAGCTTCAAGGGATTTGTTTATTTTTAATTTTTTTTTATAATTGCATATGAAGTGAACAAGACTATCCAATTTTGTTGGAGTAATAAAATTTTATTTCTGCGGCTGAACATCATTCCTACACTTAAAAGGGTCTCAATCAATTTATCAACAATTACTTTAGTATGGTTTTATGATGAAATTATTACGGGCCACGATACTTGTATAATATAAAGCAGGGCTGTCAAAAGCACGGTCCGCGGTCCACATGTAGCCCGCGGCTAATGTTTGTGAGACCCGCGACATGAATTTAATTGCTATAACTATGCAAATTTTCTTTTGATGTACTGGTAAAATAATATTATTTTCTTTGTATGGTATAACAAATAAATGATTTGTATTGGCCCGCAATTACATCTAGTCTGGACAGCCCTGGTGTTAAGAAAACTTATATCAAAGACAACTACAAACACTTATGCAAATTAGTGATCAGTATAAAAAACGCATAGTTATGATTACTTTTCGACCACTAAGATCAATACAGACATTGTCACTATTTATGAATTGATTATTGACGTTTTAAGTATAGGAAGAATGAATAGTCGCAAAATCGAGATTTTATTATTCCATCAAAATTTTCTTGTCTTGCTCAGTTGAAAAAATAAACAAACTTCTTGGAACAATTAATAATTTTTTTTTAGCTTCATTATAAACAAACTACAAAAATTCGCCCAAATAGTTTCTAAGAAAAAATTCATATTAAAGCGTTTTATTTTTTTTTTAAGATATTCAACATTTTGTAGTTCAAAAACTGTTAATTTTGGTGATACAAGCATTTTCGAAACAAGAATAAAATTTTTAATTACATACGCGTTAGAAATAAACAGACGCTAATATTAATTAATTTTTTAAACTAAGTACATAAGTGTATAATATATATTTTTTTATCTAAAAATACAGAATAAATAAATACGAAAACAATAAATTTTGCGTTGTATT